TCTTAATTTTGAAAGCATGAGGATTACAGTTTCTATTCTCTTGCTAAACTGTCATTGCTCTTCTGGTATGTGGGAATCACATTTGTCCTCGGCCCACAGTTAATGAACAACCCCCCAACCCCCAACCTCAGCACCCATAAGCCTCCAGGGACCAGGCTGTCCTCTCCTGCAAAAGCAATTTTTTTTTTTTTTTTTTGCCAGCTCAGCCCGCCCTGAGGGTGGGGCTGGCGCAGCATGTGGTGCTGGGGATGGGACTCCTGGTCCCCTGCACCTGCCTAAGCTTGCTCAAGCAGGTGCTTTAAACTGCTGAACTATCTTGCCAGCCCCTGGAAGCAGTTTTTGAATGGGTGGCTCTATTCTCAGAGATCATTCTGGATTGTGGACTCATTAGGAATTCAGTGATTTGAAAAACTATGAACACTAGATATTTGTACATTTGTGTTCCTGACAGCATTTTCTTTTTTCTTTTCTTTTTTTTTTTTTTTAAATTTATTTGTGTGTGTGTGTGTATGTGTGTGTGTGTGGCCAGCTCAGCCCACCAGGGTGGCATGTGGTGCTGGGGGATTGAACCGCAGTCCCACGTGCTAAGCTTGTTCTAAGTAGGTGCTTTAGACCACTGAGCCATCTCACCAGCCCCAGTACTTTCTTTTTTTTTCTTTTGGTGGAACCGGGGATTGAACTCAGGCCCGTGTGCTTGCCAGGGAAGCGTTTATTCTACTGAGCCATCTCCCTGCCCCTTCTTTTTTCTTTTTCTTTTTTTCTTTTTTTCTTTTTTTTTTTTGCAGAACCGGGGATTGAATTCAAGCCCTTGTGCTTGCCAGAAAAGCACTTATTCTACTGAGCCATCTCCCTGCCCACCCCCCACAGCATTTTTCACAAGAGCTAAAAAGTGGAAGCAGTCCAAATGTCCACCAACAGGTCAATGGGTAAACAGCAGAATATTATTCAGCCTTAAAAAGGAAATTCTGACCGGGCCAGGGAGATAGCTCAGGAGAATAAGCGCTTGCCTGGCAAGCACAAGGGCCTGAGTTCAATCCCCAGTTCAGCAAAAAAAAAAAAAAAAAAAAAAAAAGTTAGGATCATTATGGGGCCCAGGAGATGGCTCAGTAGAATAAACGCTTCGCTGGCAAGCGGAAGGGCCTGAGTTCAATCCCCGGTTCTGCAAAAAAAAAAAAAAAAGGAAATTCTGACATCTGCTACAACTCAAGGATGTTATACTCCATGAAATAAGATAGTGATAGATAAAAAATGCTATATGAGTTCACTTTTACAAAGTACAGAGTTGAATTCATAGAAATGGAAAGCAATGAGGCCTGGGCTATCTTTTTGTGGTAAAGAATGTTCAGGGCCCTAAATTCAATCTATAGCACCATAAAAATAAAAGTAGGATGCTCTTTTGGTTCCTTGTGTCTATTCTGTCAGTCAGATGAAGAACATTGCCTTCCCCAGTATACTCAGAAATGACCAGAAGTACCCTGGGGCAGAATAATTAAGGCCCCTAAGGTAATTCCACGTCAAGTTGATGGTTTCCAGAAGCTTGGGTAGAGGATAGGGTATTATTTAGTGGAAGCACTTTCAATTTGCAAGATGAAATACAGTTTTGGAGATCTGTGGCATAGTGACGTGAATATACTTAACACTACTGAACTGCACACCTGAAAAGCGCTTCGGGGCTCAGTGGTAGAACGCATGCGTAGCGTGTGGAGAGGCCCTGGGTTTTAGCTTCAGCATTGTAAACAAAAAAAGGGGGGCTGCCTGATAGCTCATCAGACTAAAGTGCCTGCTTAGGCAGAGTGCAGAGGCCAGGGTTTGTTCCCTGGTGAGTTGTGCTGGCCCTGCTTAGATGGTGATTGAGACTGGGCGTGGTGATGCACACCTATAATCCCAGCACTTGGGAGGCTGAAAACAGGAGAATCACTGAGTTCAATTTATATAGTGAGATTCTGTAGACTCTGTCCTAAGTATGGGGGTGGGGTGGGGGGGGTGGGGGAAGGTTGCAGTGATTTTTCTTTTAATTTTTTTTTCCAATGCTGTGGCTAGAACCTGGGAGTTCTGTGCATGGTTTGTTTTTTCTTTTTGTTTTGTTTTTTACAAAAGTTCCACTTTGGTTTTTTTTTTTTAATTAATTAATTAATTTGTGTGTGTGTGTGTGTGTGTGTGTGTGGCCAGCTCAGCCCACCAGGGGGCAGGGGCTGGCTGGCATGTGGTGCTG